AACTACGTTATATTTGCGACTTTTGATTTCTGGTTGAAGATGCAAAGAGTTCGAATATTGCTCTCACCCTTTTGAAGCTGAGAGAAAAAAAAAGCCTACTAAACTTTAACTTCAACCCAGAAGCCCCTTAGTAGAGATGGGATGGACTTTAAGACCTTTCTTATTTAGAGAAGATACAGCCACAGGCATAAAGAAAATTGCTAGAATGAATATCAAACAGGTAGAGGCCATGTGTTGGCTGATAGCCTAGAGTTCCCATGAGGCAGCAGATCTACATACAGAAATTCACATATTCTTGCACACATTTTTACCATGTACCCCAATAAGTACACACACACAAACAACTGGATAAAGAGCCCCAAGAGGCTGGGCATGGTGGCTCAAGTCTGTAATCCTAGCTACTTGGGAGGCAGAGACTGGGAGGATCATGGTTCAAGGCCAGCTTGGGTAAAAAAAGTTTGCATTTGATACAATACTCTTTAAATGACTTTAAGCCACTACCATTATACCACACTATTTATTTTTATTTTTCTCATTTTTTCACTGAGAAAACTGTATAATCATTGCCAGTCCAAATGCTGGCATTTGTGAACCACTGACTTAAAACAAAATCTATCCGAAATCACATTTACTAGTCTGTACAATTTAAAATACCAATTTCTTAAAAACCCTTCTCCTAAATCACCTAGTTAGAACTGTCACATCCTATTTTCTATAGCAATTTCCATCTAACTTTGTACTTACCAGGTTCTGAATCACATTAAATAATCTGTGCATGCTCGATTTCTCAAGTGAAAGTCCTGTAATGGCTGGGAAAGTGCCTTTTTCATCTCGAGTTCTCAAAACCGTGTTTGTTTAGTTTGATTTATTTGCCTGTTGTTAGATAAATCCTTAACACTAGCATAAAACTTATGCTTACATTTTTATTAGTTATATGACTAAAACTTCCCATTGTAAAAACCTAGGGTTTCACTCCTAATAATCTTACAGTATTTTTCTTTAGTGTTATTTTTAATTACACTAAAATACATAATAAAGTAACTGTGAACAATGTAAAATTCACTTGGTCATGTTTAAGATGGGATGACTGGTGTGTACACGGGAGTGCAGAGTGAGACATGAGTTAACTCTGCCCCCTACTGACGGAGTAATGTTTTAAAAACCAAGGAACACTGCAGAGTAGAGTTGACTCACATTAGTGGGTTCCACATCTGTGGATTCAACCAACCAAGGAACAACAAAAAATTTTTTTATTTTTAAAAACTGGCATCTGAGCCAGGTGTGTTGGTGCATGGCTAGAATACCAGTAACTTGGGGGACAAAGACAGGAAGATCCTTAGATAGAGGCCAGCTTGAGCAAAACGTAGCCAGGCCCTGTCTCAAAAACAAACACACACACATACACATACACAAACCAAAAACAAAAATAAAAAGGGTGAGGTGCATAGTTCAAGCCCTTCCCTAACATATGTGCAAGACCCCAGGTTTAATTCCCTATTATCACCACTACCACCACCACCAAAAAAAATTGTATTTCTACTGAACATACACAGACTTTTTTCTAGTCATTGTTCCCTAAACAATAAAGTAAAACAACTATTTACACAGCATTTGCACTATACTAGGCATTATACCTAAGGATGATTTAAACTATACAAGAGAATTCACAGAAATTATATGTAATATTCTCCAGTTGAGGATTGAGGATGTTGGTAACTGTAAGGATCCCGCAACCAATCTCCACAGATACTGGGCAACCATATACAGAATATGGCCCATGCAAATGTATCATGTATAAAACAAATGTGCTTCTACAAAGCAAAAGGGTTTTGTGAAAAGGTCTTTGCAGATCTTGGGCCAAATACATTAAGATAGAATGTATTACAGAAAAGAAGAATTTGAAGAAAAGGGCAATTTAGAATTGACTACTCAGATCATCACGTTACAGATCAGAAAGCATCATTTACATTATATTCTTCATTTATGATTCTCCACTACAGGTGATTTTGCCCCTCAGGGGACATATGGACACAAGGGAAGATAGTTTTGGTTATCGCAGCCTGGAGGGAGGGAGATACTATTGGCATTTGATGGACAGAGGCCAGGAAGCATGGTGCTAAACATCCTGCAGTGTGCAGGTTAGCTCCAAAAGCATGAATGTTCTCTCACAAGCTGTGCAGCAAAGCAGCTTAGGAGTTTTACCTAAGAACATCAAACAGAGTCTCATTTGCTTAAAGTTTGCTGAATGGGTCAAAGCAGGTATTAAATCTCTGAACTAGAACAATTTTTAGCCCTCTTAATTTGGGTTACAAAACTGTAATCTGTACAGTTTCATCACCTTTTACCTTTACTCTAGGGATGACACAACCTGTGCATAAAGTTTTTATTTCCTAGTGATACGTTCAAACCTGTGGGGCTTTCTCATCATACCTGTGTTTCCACTTCCATCATCCTTTGTTTCATTTCTTTTATTTCTGCTTGTGTTTCAGCCTCTTTAAGTCGAATGGTCATCAGTTCATCTTGCAACTCATTCACAGCATTTTTCTTAGGTGGCTCTTTCCATCTCCCAGAAGTGCGAGCTAAGTGGCGCTAAAGGATAAAAATTACAATGCAACAAAAGCTCTCAGTATCAGAATAAGAGATAACTTTACAGAGCATTATTTCAGGGCTGGTGCTATAATAAGCATTTTCCACACATTATTTTATTTGCTACTCAGAAAAATCTAAACTGTTAGAATACCCTGGGCTACAAAGCAAGACCTTGTCTCAAAAAAAAAAAATGTTAGCCACTATTATCTTCATTTTACAAGTAAGAAAATGGACACTGATTAGTTAAATTTGGAGAGTCATAGAGTCAGTAAGTGGTAGACCTGGGATATAAACTCACATATAGTTTAAATTTTTCTCTATAGCCACTGAGGAACAATTTTTGTAAAGGATACAGTTTTTACTCCATTTTTTTGAGACAGGGTCTTGCTATGTATATCGGCCCAGAAAGGTCTCAAACTCAAAATCCTCCTACCTCAGCCACTGGAGTGTTGAGATTACAGGTGTGAGTCAAGATGCCTGGCTACTTTTTTCTTTTTGTGGGACTGGGATTGGAACTCAGGGTTTTACTCTTGCAAAGCAGGCGGTTCTACCACTTGAGTCACATCTCCAGTCCATTTTGCTGTGGTTATTTTGGAGATGGGATCTCGTGAACTATTTGCCCCAGCTGGCCTTGAACCAAGATCCTCCCAATCTTAGCCTCCCAAGTATCTAGGATTATAAATGTGAGCCACTGGTGCCTGGCTTCTAGTTTGTTTGTTTGTTTTTTTAAATGAGATTTATTTTCAATGAAGACCCTTAAAGAGCAAAAATTGGGCCATTCAATAAGGAAGCAATATTTGAAGGGCAGTGTTTCTGAAAATATCTGTGCTAAAGGACCAGTTTTGTTTGCTTTTTTAATTCACAGTTTACTGGAGCCTGATACTTTTCAAAATGCATTAAAAAAAAAAGCCATAGCAATATCAAGGACTGATTCCAGTCTTTCCTAGATGCTTCCCCATTCAAACCAAGATCACTATTTTGAAACTATATGTATTTTTTTAGTTCCCTCTCTTTTGTCTCATAGATCGTAACATTTAGTCCCCTTGTCAACAACTTCCCTCATATGTGGATAAATTTGTGGGAATATAAATACTGAAATGTCATTTATTTAGTGAGGAAATCATTTTCAAAGGAACTTAAAATTTATAGATAAATTTATATGGGTATCACCCTTCTGATGTTTTACACCAACCAATATAAGAAAACCTTTGTATTACATAAGAGGAATATTCTTTCTTTTTTGTTTTGTGTTTTTTTTTTGTTTAGGACAGGGTCTTGCAATATAATCTAGGCTCACCTCAAATTCGCTATGCAGCCCATCCTTCTCCAACTGCCAAGTGCTGGAAATACAGGTGTGCACCACCACACCTGGTATAAGATAAGTATTTCCTTATGGTTCTTCAGAAAACGTTTAAAAAAATGCACAATGGTGTAAGAGTAATAAAAATATGACCTGGTTACTGTTGTATCTTTTATTTCTTTATAAGAATCAAGAGAGATACAGCTTAAATGTACTATCTAGTTCTAAATTCTTTTTTTTTGAGGGGGGTGGGTGGCGGACAATATTGGGATTTGAAGTCAGGACCTCAAACTTGTGAAGCAGGCAGAGTACCACTTGAGCCACAACTCCAGCCCTTTTTGCTTTAGTGATTTTTAAGTCTCATGTTTTTGCCAGAGGCAGGCCCTGAACCATGATCAGCCAGCTTACCTATGGCCTCCCAAGTAGGTGTGACCACAGGCATATGATAGAATCTCACTTTTTGCCCAGGCTGGCCTCAAACTGTGATCCTCCCTATTTCTGCCTCCTGAGTAGCTGGGATTTTAGGCATGAGCCACTATGCTTGGCATAAATGCTCCTAATTTTGATATTAAGCAAGATTTTTCTCACTTTAAGCTCATTTCCTATTGTTGGTCATCAGCTACTTCAAATTTGCACAGACTGGATATTTGGGTTTACTCGCTTTAAAAAGTACATAAACTAAATTGATATACCTGCCAGTGTTCTTCTAAATCCTTGACTTGCTGTCTAAGTTCTTTCAAACCCATAATGGCTTCTGCTTCTCTCAGTTTCACAGCAATGAGCTCCTCTTGAAGTCTTGCGATGTTATTCTCATCAGGAAAGGCATTGTTTCTCTAAAGAGAGAAAATTTAAAGTGAGATATAAGAATATTAAGGAATAAAATAAAATATGACACACACAACACTATTTTATGCCATACATTATCTGTATTTAATTTTATACAGTTTTCTTGAAATATAATTCACAAATCATAAAACTCTCCTTTCAAAGTGCAAATCAGTGATTTTTAGAGTACCGATGGGCTGTTTATCAGTCACCATGATCTAATTTCAGAATATTTTTATCAGTTGAAAAAGAAATCCCATGCCCACTGGCTGTTGCTTTTCATTCTCCATTCCTCCACTCCCTGACAACCACTTATTTATTTCCTGTGTCTATGGATTTTACTGCTCTGAACATTTCATATATAAATGGAATCATATAGTATGTGGCTTTTTTTGATGAGCTTATTTCACTTATTAGCCCAATGTTTTCAAGGTTCACTCCTTTTTAATGCCAAACAATATTCTACCAAATGTACATTTAGAATATTTCTACTAAAATGTACACTTTATCCATTCTTCAGTTAATGGAAATCTGGGTTGTTTCCACTTTTGGCTATTATGAATAGTGTTTCTATGAACACTTGTGCAAAAATTTTTGTGTGGATTTACATTTTCAGTATTCTTAACGACATATCAAAGAACAGAACTGCTGGCTCAGATGGTCATTATTTTGCATTAACTTAAGAAATTGTCAACCTCTCCCAAAGCAGCTGTAACTGTTTTACATTCCCACAAGCTATGTATGAGGTTAATTATATTTCATTGGAGGATACAGAAAGTCTAACTCTACTTTGTTAATAAAATATCAATCAGTTAGACAGCAACAGGATTAAAAATGCTTTTCCAACATGTCAATAAGCATACTTATAAGTAAAGCACAAATGTCATTACATCTTAAAGACTTAAAGAACAATCTGAAAATCTGTTTTCATTGTATTTTCTTATGTCATCTTGGAAAGGAGTGTCAAATCTTTGTGTTATCAGTCACTATTAATATCAACAGCCAGGAAATTAATACGAAGATTATCTAAATATTTGTTTCATGGATACAAAATTTAAATTCATCTCTTACCACACTAAAAAGATGACTTGGGGGTAGCCCAGCATCAAATTGCTCTAGAGAGTTACCAAGGGACCCAAAATTAGGAAATCTTCCTAGGTAAACTAAACTAATACTGGGATTTCAAGGCCTTGTTCTATAAAATTTTCTGTCTCTAAAATATTTCATGGTGGGCACAAAGATTTCAGTCCAAACTATTATGGAATAGTTATTCTCACAAATTACAACATTTTCTTATGATGGACTTTGAATATGTTCTCAGCTAAAAATTAGAAAATTATTTCATATGTATGAAAAAGATTGCTAGAACCAGGAAAAAACAAAGAAGATGCTGCAAAAAGAAATTAACCATAATGCAACTTTCCAATCCCTTCCTATTCTAAAATGTGAACATTAACACAGTCACTTTAGAAATCCATTTGTTTTTGTTTTTTTGTTTTTTTTTTGAGACAGGGTCTTGTAATGTTGCCTGGGCTGGCCCTGAACTCCTGGGCCTAAGCCACACTTCTTTTTTTTTTAATTCGTATGTACATACAACATTTGGGTCATTTCTCCCCCCCCTTCCCCCTGCCCTCTCCCTTAACTATTCCACCCCCTCCATCTTCCCCCTTACTTCCTCGCTTCCAGGCAGAAACTATTTTGCCCTTATCTCTACTTTTGTTGAAGAGAGTATAAGCAATAATAGGAAGGACCAAGGGTTTTTGCTAGTTGAGATAAGGATAGCTATATAGGAAGTTGACTCGCACTGCTTTCCTGTACATGTGTGTCACCTTCTAAATTAATTCTTCTCAAACTAACTAAGCCACACTTCTGCCTCAGCCTCCCAAGTGCCTGGGACTACAGGTGCATGCCAGTGCCCATCCCCCCACCCCACAAAAAATCCCTTTTTGAACTGGACCCAAGTATAGTTCTTTCTACCAAATATTCAAAGCCTTTCTATCAGACTTAGATTCTTAGCTAAGTCATGGAGCTTAGACTACTCCTAAATTAGAGATGAAATATTCTACTAAGTATTTCTTTCAGCATTCTTGCTTGCTTTTTCACAACAAATCAGAGAGTAAAATTTCCAAATATACAAATAGCAAGTAGAATTCTAGCAAAATTATCCACTACTGATTCTAGTTACATTTGTTCTATTTCACTAATAAATAATTAAGAACAAATGAGGTTATTATGAGCCTTCATGATTCAATATTATCAAGGGGTAAAAAGGAACAAACAGAAGTCATCAACAATTCTGTAGATGAAAAATAAAGCTCCAGAGTTGTGATCCAAAAACACAGATGCTCAAATCAGAGAGTTATATGAAACCCGAAAAAATTTTTTATTTTCATTACTCATCTAGTAAGCCTTGACATTTTTTTAAACATCCTTGAAAAGTAGTAAGTTAGCTTCTATAAAGAAGTACAACTCAGGCTAAAGGAAATTTTCTATAGATCCTGAAGTGACTTTGAATATTTCTAACAATTATACTCAGATGAAATTTTCCCTGGAATGTCTATGTATTGGTCCTATTGTATCTCTTCCATATAAAAATATTACAATATTTGAGTATAATTAAATCCTGTTTAAATTTCTCTTTTTTAGCATTTAATTATTCTTTCTTTAAAATTATCCTGATTGTTTTTTTCTTGTAAGCAATCTCTAAATTCCATTTTTATCCTGGATTTGTATGGAATCGTAATATTTTTATTTGCTCTTGTAATAAGTAATATATAAGGTTTCTACCATGAAAAAACAGGAAGCCCAATTTAATCACTGAATAAGTACGTAACAAACATCTTTACATGTCCCTCCAGTTCACTTGGGTAGCTTCTTACCTTCTCTATATCCAGGACTTTATCTTGCATCTCCTTTAGTGCACACTGAGACTCAGCTTCACTCAGTCGAGCTTGAACCAACTCCTTCTCTAGCTGTAGCACAAAATCCTCATTGTAGTTGGAACTGCATTTGTGCTAAAAGGTTATAGACATATACTGAAATTTCATGGGACCATGAACATGTGAACACATACACATAAAAATAATACAGTTACATAATTCAGGTATTAAGGGCAACTAAATAGTAAAAGCTCCATCTACTCAATATTTTCAGCTTATTTCTTCCAATTAACTTCTCAATGAATAAGTTGTTTCTTTCTTTCTTTTTTTTTTGTTAAAAGCCCACTTCTATTACCTTTATAGATGACCCCATTACTGGATTTGGTAACTAGCTATTATACACATCAAATCCAATTCATAAGACAACTATCTCCTTTTATCTGTCCATCTATCCAAACATCAAGAATCTGTTCTGACTCTATAGATTTGCCCTGTACAGAAGGGCAGTCATTAACCACATGTGGTTACTGAGAACTTGAAATGTGGCTAATCAAAATTGACATAGGTTGTTAAGTATAAAATACAAATTGGATTTCATATGAAATAAAGGCTCAGTGGTAGAACAACTGCTTAGAATACAGAACGCCTTGGGTTCAATCCCCAGCACCACCACCAAAATAAATAAACAAATGGTAAGAAAACCTCAATGACTTTTATGTTGACTTAATCTTAAGATGTTTTAAATATATGGAGGAAATGAAAAAAAATTTTTTACCCAGTTTTACCTGGTACTAGAAATTTTTAATTGCACACATGGCTCATATTATACTGTACTGGACAGCCCTGATATACAGACTACAGAAGGTACAAATTTACTGAAAACTCACTTTTAATGTACTGGGAATAAAAACAGGGCACTAAGGTGAACCATCTTAAATTCCCACAAAACAAAACTATATTTGCTTTACAAGTGTAGATTTTCTTAAAAGGTATACATGGAAATGAGTCCTGTGAGCAGAGAAAAGGCAGATACTGATCAGAAAAATTAGTCACAGAAGCATGCAATCTCGTTTCCTTTCTACACTGTAATGTGAACACCAATGTAGCCACTTACATCTTTTTAAAACCAGCATCATACAAAAGGTTAAATACAAAAGCAAAAAGATAAGCCTAGTGTGGTAGTACACACCTATAATCTCAGTACTCAGAAGTCTGAGGCAGGAGGACTGTGAGTCCAAGGTCAGTGTGAGCTACAAAGTGAGATTCTCTCTAAAAAAATCAAACAAAGCAAGCACAAAAAGAGGATGGATTCAGTGGTTCATGCCACATCATCATCTATTTGGAAGGCAGAGATTGGGAGGATTGCATTTTTGAGGCCAGACTCAGCAAAAAGTTAGTTAGACCCCACCACATTCAACAAGCCAGGTGTGCTGGCTCACACCTATAAATCCCAGGTACATGAGAGGCATAGGTAGGTGGATCACAGTCCAAGGCTAGCCCAGGCAAAAATACGAAACCTTACTTGAAAAATAACTTAAGAGCTGGGTGTCCATGGTTCATGCCTATAATTCTAGCTACTCAAGATGCAGAGATCAGGAGGATTGTGGTTTGAGGCCAGCCCAGGCAAATAGTTCATGAAACCCTATCTCAAAAACACTCAACACTAAAAAGGGCTGGCAGAATGGCTCAAATGGTAGAGGACCTGCTTTGCAAGGATGAGGTCCTCAGTTCAAACCCTAGTACTGCCAAAAATAGCAGTAAATTATAATAACTAAAGAAAAAAGGAGCTGGAGGCATAGCTCAAGTGTTAGAGCACCTGCCTAACCAGCAGTTGGTCCTGAACTCAAACTCAGGTACCACCAAAAACAAAATAAAAAAGAAGATATCTAATTCTGCAATATTAAAAAACTTTTAAAAATAGTCTATCACTTTACATTTAACTCAGGTAATAAAGAAAAAGAGGCAACTCAACATTTCAAAATAGTCAAAGAGAACAACAATCTTGTACTGAATTGGTCTGAGTAAAGAATGGTTCTCTTTACTCTTTAATACATTAGAAACAGAATGGATGTCAAACCAAAACTATTATTCATTATTCATTATTATTAATGAAGTGCTTGATTAATTTACCTCAAAAGATGTCCAAATGGAGGCTTTTTAACTACACACTACTTCTTGTGACTCTGACACTTTTTATACAATACTTCAATACAGGAAGTGCATGTGTAACAAGTATATTACCTTAGCAAACACTTACCTTACAGAGTAGGGAAAAACACTCTTTTGGAATGACCTCATCCAAACCAGAGATACCATCATTCGTTTAATAAGATCAGAGCTATTTTATGGGCACTACCAGAATAGTTTGCTCTTAATCTAAATCCCTAGTAACTTTAGTTAAGATGTGTCTGTCAATGTCCTGTATTACAAGACCCCCTAAGAAAATATCAAACTCAAGTTATCACTCTGGGTACACATACCTTATGCTTTTCGTATACTAAAACACATTATCTTAGCCACTGAATTAAAATCATTCTAAACGTATTATGTACTTTTTTTTTGCTACTGACAGGATGAGTTTAACAAACATAATTCTTAATTCTCAGATTAATGTACTGCAAATTACATAGGGTCTGAGGAATATGCATTATTTTTGGTGGCACAATAAATAATACATGAATCTTTATCATAGGTTTTTACTTGTCTATCTTTCCCTCTATAACTTTCAATCCTAGTTTTGCCTTGGTTCTCTAGTCTTGGTGTTTTGGTTTTTTTTCTTATTGTAAAAATGTTTTTATTAGTATATATTCATTATACAGGGGAGAGTCATAGTGACAATTCCAGCTGGGTCTATATTGTACATTTGTTGGATCATCCCCATCAATTTCTCCCCCCGCCCCAGTCCCTCTCACCCCACTTAAAGCAAATGCAAGAGAGTTCTTTGTTCTATTCCATGTAAGTATATGAAGACCATTATACATTATTTAGGCCACCTCCGTTCTCCCCCCACCCTGCTACCACTCCAAAACTCACTTTTCAGAAAGAAAATTGAACTCACGAAGTTCTATATATAATGTTAGCCCTCCATGAAGCTTCCATATACTCGCATTTAAAATCGCCTCTCTACAAGGTATTCCCTTTAATCCCCAGCTATTTTATGATCAGTAACTCTATGAAAGAGACCACACTGGATATATAATACCCAGAATTACATTCTCAGCAATTCTAGTTATTTAATTTTTAATTGTACAAATAATGGATTTCATTATGACACTTGCACATCTAACTACAATGTACTTTGATCCTATTCCCTCCCTGTCCTCTTCCCCCACCTCCTTTGGGTCTCTCTACCCCAGGTAGTTCTCTGTTTAGGCCCATGTCTTTTTGTTTGTGTTTATGGTTCTAGATTTCACATATACGAGAAGACAAGTGATATCTGTCTGAATCTGGCTCATTTTGCTCTACCGTTTGAGCCACATCTCCAGTCCATTTTGCTTTGTTTATTTTGGAGATGGGGCCTCATGAAATCTGCCCCGGTTGGCTTTAAACTGTGATTCTCCTGATCTCAGCTTTGCAAGTAGCAAGGATTTCAGGCGTAAGTCACCAACAGGCAACTCTTCTTTATGGCTGAATAAACTGTATGTATATATCATATTGTTCATTGTGTAATTATACCACATTTTCTTTATCTACTCATTTGTTGATGGGTTCCTAACCTGATTCCAGATCTTGGCTATTGCAAAGTGTTGCAATAAACATGGGTGTGCAGGTATCTCTACTGTATTCTAACTTATGTTCCTTCAGGTATATGTGCAGTAGTATAACAGGATCATATGACAGTTTTCAGATTTTAAGGAACCTCCATACTAATTTCCATAGTGGATGCACTAATTTACATTCCCCACCCCGGATCCCTTGGGTATCTGTTGCTGTTTTTTTTTTAAAGGATTTTATTAGCATATAATAGTTGTACAGGGGAATACACTGTGATATTTACATATATGCTTATAATTTATCTTAGTTAGATTTACCCGCTCCATCATTCTACCTCTTTCCCCCTCTGCCCCTTCTTTTCTTCAGGACCATTTTGGTCTATGTGTGCAGGCTGACAAACAGTACCTCTATCGGTCAGATGCCTATATAGACTACAGATAAAATCACCACAGAGTAACCTACAAAGAGTAAAAATACTATAAAATAGTACAATAGTAAAAAAGCAAAGGTGAAGGTAGAGACCAAAAGAGAGAGGGATAGAAATCATAGAATGATAGAATCCTTGGAATTTAGTGTGGAGGGAGAGGCAGAGGGAAAGAGAGAGAAACAGAATAGTGACCACTAACTCTCAAATCCCTATTTCCAGTCTGGATCTTTCTACTAAGCTTACATGCTTATTTACATCTTCTGCTCAACAAAATGTGCTTGCCTTCATGTTTACCTCACACTCAACATGTCGAAACTGTTGTTTCCATCTTTCCCTCTTTATATATCTACTATCCTGCTGAGGCCACCACCACCCAACAATGGACCAAGTCAAAACCTCCCTTCTATTCAACTGTACCATCAATCATAAAACTTAGCTATCTTGTGAATCTGTCTGCTCCTCTCCATTTTCATTGTCACTATGCTAATTCAGAGCCTCCATCTCTTTCTTTGGACTGTTGCAGTGGTTTCACATATATCCTCTCTTATTGCAATACTTATAATAACACTTATTTATACTTTTAATATTATAATATTTTACTTTATCTCTCAAATTAAACTGTAATGACAAGAAGGTCCACCACCTGGACTAGGTAGGTATTTTCTGACTCCATTGTTTTATGTCTAAGAAAGTTTTGATTCCCTGCTCATTAAAACAAACATGTCAATAGAAATTAAAATTAGGATTTTAAATTTAAAGCCTCAGGAGGCTGAGGCAGGAGAATCATGAGTTTAAGGCCAGTCTAGCTAGATGTGAAACCCTGTCTCAAAATCAAAAGAGTAGGGGAATGGAACAAGAGCAAGGAAGAACTGTGTGAAAACAAGATGGCCAGCTACTTAGAATACTTAGGACTGTTAAATTTCTAGGAAGACTGCACTTGGGATGGGGGGACACAGTTACATTAAATTACTGGCTAACTTCTGACTTACTGTCA